GTAATCCCATGATGGGTGACCCACTGGGAAGTTCTCGTGTGAGTTTCTAGAAACAAAACCGTAAGGGCGTGGTCAGGGCCCAAAGCGGACAATATCGTGCTACGACGACGAAGTCGAGCTTGGGATGTGGTGGGGGCCTGGATTAGGATGTGACAGTTAAACATTAAATGACTTGGATGATTTTGTGGATTATAACTAATAAGGAAAACACAAATTTAAATTAATTAGAATTATCTAATAAAATAAAATAAAATCAAAAATCAAAATTTGAACTGATAGAGAAAGAATGTAAAACCCATAGTGAAGAACACCCAAGAAAGGTAAGGAGACAGATCAATGTTCTTGCACCTCACTACCTGTGATACTCTAATTCGATTGATATGAAATTTTGATGTACACTACAACGAATCAAGCTATCAGTCTCTTGAATCTTCTCAGAACAAAACCCTATATTCTAAATCTTCAATCTTGACTCCTGGATTTCACCTTTTTTTTTTTTTTTTTTTGTTTAAATACGGTGCAAATGAATGATAGGTGGCAAAGTGATTGAGTTGCTAGCCTAGGATTAGGGTGCTTAATTCAAAACAAATTATTGTCAAAGCAAAAGTCTTTCTGCTTGGTATCATGTTTTTGTTTTTTTTTTTTTTTTGGTTTTTCTATAATTAGGGTTCTTTGTTTGAAGGAAAGAAAAACTTTTCATTAAGAAGTTGTAGACCTCTTCAGCAGAGATGGAAATGGAATTTCATGTTTTTATTTTTTTATTTGATTTTATTTTATTTTTACACTGGATATTTCAAAGTTTGATTATTTCTTTTCCAATTTTAGTATTATTTGATATTCTTTTTATTTAAATTAGTGTTTTCCTTATTGGTTATAATCCACATAATCATTCAAGTCATTTATTTTTAAAAGCCTCCAAATCACTTTTAATCAACAAGACCTTGGATCTTATAAGATCTAAAGGCTACAAAGGAGTGTAAAAATATTTGTCAAAATCTTTGTCTCTTGATCCTATCCCATATAGGAGCATGCACAATAATTAATGATCATCGAGGGATTTGTAGATCATAAATTATCATTCCTTCATAATTAAATGTCTGGTTTGGTAATCTTACATTGATATGATTACGATGGTCGATCTTGAATTCTTTTGTCCATTACCAACAGCATTGTTTGAGGAACATCAACGACAAATGAAAAACATTTATTTTTAGGTTAATCTTATTAACTGTAATAATATAAACCTCTTCGTCAATTGGACCTTAGTGCTGGTTAATCACATATGTTGTTCGAACTTGAAATCTCTTACCCAATTAAAAAGAGAAGTACTACTAGATTGAAGGTCCGTGGGTTATTTAACCTACCTTTCACCATCATTATTACATTAGGCAACATGTACATTTCCTTTTTACTTTTTGTTACAAGACATGGTTCTTTTTCATGGCCAACTCCCCACAACCACATGCATGTGGCTTGACTTTGTTCGGAATGGGCAAATGATTTGTGACATGTGATTATGTTAGTGAGTGTGGTACTATTCCACTTCAAGGTGTCTCACCCCCCACCTTCCCTCATTTTCTCCTAATTAATTGGCATATATCATATTTAACTAATATGTTGTGGAATGTGATTAGTGGATATGCAGTGCATGGTGATAAGAAGTAATTATGATGAGAGAGAGGTAATTATGCCAAACATTGGCATTAGGTGTGATTAACCCTCTCTTCAACCTTCGTGACATGAAAAGGTCGGACATTTGGTCGGGCATATATTTACGTCAAATATTAAGACAATCATCCTTTGTTCGGTATGAAATGCTATAATTTTTTTAACATTAAGTAAATTGAATAATAAAACTAGAAGTTATGGGTAAGTGGTAATTTAAGGTTTGCCTCTCCAAATCACTGTATTTCGAATTCAAACATTTATGTTAGTGTAGAATATTATTTGTACTAAAAAGATTTTTAGCTAAAAAAAAAAAAAAAAAAGCTAAAATGATTAATATGACAACTAAACAACTATTTACCGCAAACATTTTTTTAAAAAGAAGTTTATAGCTGAGTTGGTTAAGAACACATTCCATACATTGGTTAAGAACACATTCCATGCACCGAAATACTGACTTCAACAACTAGCCAACTTTTTCTGTACCTATTAAAAAAATTGGAGTAACTTTCAAAACGTGCATATAAAATATATTTGTATGTGTTTGTAGTTATAGTATTACTATTAAGCTATATGATCCTTTTTGTATATGGTCTAACTTAAAAAATATTATCATTACTTAACCCCCAATCACTCAAAGAAAAGCCAATAATCAAGCCTTGTAATTATAGCGGTTACTCTACTAGTGTGTGGTCCTCGACCTCTAAGTAGATGCAAATTCAATCTAAATTAAAACTCAAAATGAACTGATTCACTATTTTTAAGTATATTGTAGTTTTAATTTTTCTCCTGCTTAATTTATGTTATTCTAATATTGTCCTCTCTGAAAAACCAATGTGAATTTCTTTTTTTGGAGAACTGTGCTAAAAATCAGTATGTTCGTCGATTTCATCTTCTTATCTCCTCTCTCTACTGAACATTGTTCTCTCTCTCCCAACATCACTCTTTTGCTCGATATCACTCTCTCCTTTCTGGAGCTACGCAAGTTCCCCCCAAACCCACATCCGCACCGGTTGGGCGTTTTGCTACATGTATATAAGTAACATCTCTATTTTTTGTAGCATAAAGATCTTTGGAATAATGAACTGTTGAAAATTGCCAATCTTTTGATAACTCTGAACTTATGTATATAAATCAGCTTCTATAACCCCCCCCCCTTGTATGTATATGTATTAAAAACATCTTAAACACATGCAGCAACTCACACGCATTTTTCTACTATGCATGAAAATATCTGATAATTTGGGCCAATTGTGAAACAAATATTTCCCAATATATTAAGGGCTCAATAACTACTGGCTTCGATGTCGAGCAACTTTTGCCTAATAAGTAGGGCTCAATGACTTCGGCTACCATTTGGTTGGACTGCATATAAAGATTGTAACCCAAATAAAAATGGGCTAAAATTGCAGCCCAAACAAAAATGGGTCAAGGATCTAGATCCAAGATTGTAAATAAGCTAACCTTCTTGGGCCTAGTGGGCTAGTTGGGATCTAAATTAGGGTTGAATTTGGCCGTCATGGATGTCGAACCCATAATTTGAAAAAACTCTGTCGATAACTAATCTAACAAAATCTATAATTTGACAGAAAAAATAAATTTTTATTTCACATGCTATACACTTCTTGTATTTGAATTCAATTGAACCTAATTTTTATTTTATTTTATTTTTTTTTTGGCAAACTAACCCAATCTTCTTAATCAATAAGCAACTGCCTCATTTGGCAATTAAAATAAGAGAACATAGTTTGTCGGTGCAAGGCTCATCTTCTGTTTGTTTGTTTAATGTTCATAATAAAAAAAATTACCAACTAGTTAGTACTACAATTTAGTGGTATTCATCTTTACTAGTAAGTAAGAGGTCTCATATTTGATTCACACATATGATGAAGACATATTTATTTTTTTGTTACATTTGATACCTAGTTTATGGCTCGCCCATTATGATGTCTAACCCAATCAATTAGAATATGCCATTCTCTTCAGAGTACATTTGAATATGTTACACTAGTTAATCCAAATCTAAGGGATTAGATTTGAAACCCACCGGTGCTCTATGTTGCACATGAATCTGCTCATGGGTTGGATCGTACAAATGGGGACCAAACCCTATTTATAAGTGACAATATATGATACCATATGTACCAATGCATGATAAGGCACTGTTGCTGCCTCATTGGACCATTTAGGATTAATTTTTCTTTCGCCTTTCACCTTTCACTTTCCAATAATTATAATACATTACGAATGAAGGAGTCACACTCTCTATGAAAAGAACTGTCAATATCTATATGTATATATTCATATAGTTAAGCCTAACCGTATAAATTATAACATATCTATAATTTTTATAGCGCTTTAGGCTGAAAAATGTTGAAGTTTCATCATAAAACTAATTGGTAATATCGAGAGTAATTCAACTTTCTTATAAACCCGTGCAAGATCCCTCATCCCATCAATGCGAGACTCATTCTCAACACGCCCCCTCACAGTGTGGCGAATTTTCAAGCTCAACACGTGAACAACAACAGGTGACGTGGAGCACGTGTGGCCGTTTGGCTTCACACGTGAGACAACCTACTTAAGAGACCATGAAGAAAGTTGAGGTTCCACCATAAAACCAATTGGCAATATGAGGAGTAGCCCAACTTACTTATAAGCCCATATAAGGTCATTCCTCCCATCAATATGAGACTCGTACTCAACATAGGCTTGTAACGAATTGACAAATGTACAAATCAAATTCATTTTTACAACAATTGAGTTGTTGGTTAGGTTGATCCATGATTGGTTTAGACATAAGCTCTGTGCTCTATATAAAAATTATATGGCGTAATAATCACACATGCATGAACGCGTTTCAGTGTCCTCCAGTTCATCTCAAATTACCAAAAAAAAAAAAAAAAAGTCCTTCGAAATAACCTAGCTATAGCTCACCTTAGCTTGGCTTAGCCGAACCCAAATTTAGTTACTAAATTCATGCCTAGCCCCTAATATAAGTAATGGTTAAGGGCTTATTTGAAAGTAATTTTTAGAGGACCAACATCACTTATGATGAGAAACACATAAAAAGCGTCCCTTCATAAAATCACTTAAAGTGATTTTCCAAATGGTTTTAAAGTAAAGTGCCTCTAAACGAGCACTAATCAAGTCTAAAATTGAGGTTAGATATTAATTAGTGAAGATGAATTTGAACTGTGGTTATGTTGTAGTGTAAAAATCATATGTAGATGATGTGTTGTTGGAGTAAATAATTCTAGGGTTTGGAGGTACCATTCACTCAAATGGAACTTGTGGTCCTCACACACACACACACACACACACACACACTTCTCTTCCTTTTTCTACACCTTTTCTGTTTGATCAATGTTTTCATTTTAGCCTACTTCTCCTTTGAATATAACATCTTCCTTCTCCTCTCATTTCTTTGCTTCTCCTTTTGTCGGAAAAATATGGAATCAGGCAGAGCTCATGGAAAGAAGACCTTGGTGAAATACGAGGAAGAAGAGGAGGAGGAGGAGGAAGAAGAAAGCAGGAGTGGGACACCATCAATAGTGGATGGTGAGGATGAGAGGAGAGATACAGTGATGATGATGAATAGTACTGCTCCTTCTCCTACAGGGAGAAGATCTGGTGCAGGAGGGTCTACAGCAGGGCCATGTTGTAAGGTAGATAGTTGCAATGCTGATTTGAGCGATTTAAAGCAATACTACCGCCGCCACAAGGTCTGTGATGTTCATGCCAAGGCTCCGGCGGTGCTCATGGGTGGATTCCTGCAGCGCTTTTGCCAGCAGTGTAGTAGGTAACAATTTTAGAACCGTTTTTTCAACTACCACAGTTTTGCAAATAATAACTCTCTTCCATTAAACATTTAGACAACCTTCAAACCTTTTTATCTATGAAGTTCTTCTCTCGTGTGATGCCTAATGATCAAGCAAAAAATAAATAAAATGCCCTCTTTCAGAAAGCTCTTTTGCTGGGAAATGTAGGGTTCACCTTTTCCCTTGAAGTCCTTTCAAAAGAAAAGGATCCCGGGTGGTTTATAGTATGAATTAAACTTGCAAGAACCCACACCTACAGTTTCATGCCATATCTTGTGGAGAGAAGGCAATATTAGTATGCCTAGCTAAACGGTTTTCTTAATTGTTGCCTAATTAGTATTCATGTAGATATATATATATATATATATATATCTAAATATGACGCAGCACGAAGCAAGAGAGATACAAACGTAAACCCTTGAAAAACAAGATTTTTGGAGTCCATCAGGGTTTGACAGAAAGTCCAAAAGTTGTTTTGTTTAATTGATATTTGATAATCACATTGAAACAGTCAAACGGCTTAAATAGACGGATTACAACTCCAAAAACAACTCAAAGGACTTTGAACTTTAAAATGACAATAATTCAACATTAATTGGAAGATAACTCAAATGTTCGATTTTTATAACAGAAATTAAAACTACGTTTTGAAGGCTGAAACGATCTCGAATGGTCAAAATCTATTGGGTGTTTGAACTGTGGCATCGTTCCCTTTCTAAAAATGTATCATGGGCCTAAATCGGAGCTCAAACGTCAAATTTGCAAATTCTCATTGCTTCCTTTTGCCTTTTGACGATTCATTTCCTCTTGAACCCATTTGGCCTTTTGTTCTACATCAACATAAATTGTAGATACACACTTACTCATATTTTTCTAAAGCGTGGTTAACTGCCTTTTTTTTATAGTATATCGACTATTTTTACATTAAGAGGAGGGGGAGTTTGGCTAAGTCACATAATGGGTAGCCTAATTTGGTATCGAATTCGTCATCCACGAGATTCGAACCTAAACCTCTCACTTTCAAGTAGAGAGAAATATCATCAGACCGTAATACTCATGGCTGATTAACTGCCTTTTTAAAAATGCGAATTGTCATCAATTTTGTTGATATTGTTGATTGTTTAACTTTTTAGTTTATTTACAGACCATAAAGTTGTCAATATGTCCTTAATAAACTTGACTCTGCATTTAAAAAAGTGCATTCAACTGCATTGTAGGAAGGACACTCATGAGTCATGAGTCGAATAATGAATGAATGGTGGTGTATTGACAGGTTTCACAGCCTATCGGAGTTTGATGACCGTAAAAGGAGTTGTCGCCGGCGATTAGCTGGACACAATAAGCGGCGTCGGAAAACATCCCTACAATAACATGGACATGGAGGCGAAGCTCCCAATCTTCTGTCAACCCTCAGCCTTCATTATACGTATGCACCACTGAAACTCTCTCTCTCTCTCAATTGTATGCATTAATTAAGGAAGATTTGCTTCTTTGCTAGCACAATTTCGAACCTTGAAATTGTGCTTCATGATTCTTGGCTGTGATTTGAAACAACGCTACGACTTGATCCGTTCAGTTGGTAACGATAATTCTTGTTTTCTTCACATGCTTTAATTTGTCACTACTTTTATCGTACATTATCATGGTATTTTTTGCCCTAAGATCTCTCTTATTATTATGTTATGAAAACATTTACGTGAAATGAACAGACTGTTCGTTAATATTACCAATGTAATTATGTTTAGCATATATTTTACTTGTTGATACCAATATAGCCGAAAATATGAACATATTCACTCATATTACAACACGTATATCTACGCATCACATTTCAGGTGCGACAGGACGGGGAGGGCTATCAAATTTACCATATGAATTAGCCATGTCCAGACCTTTCTCTCTAATATTTCAAAAAATTGTAATATCAAGAACAGAAAAACACCAACCAAAACTTCTTGGCTGCTTTGTTAGAAAAACTTCTATTTCAGCTGACAGAAATTACAATAAAACATGTGAAATCCTTGATGCAAACTTTTCAACAATCATTACAAAAAAAATCTCACAACAAACCACTCCAATCTCTGATATTTTCTTGTAGATAAAATGTTCAAGCTCCTTAAATCGAGAAAACAATGCATAGTAACACCCTTGGAGTTCATTGGAGTGAAAGAATTTTCTCTTGCTGAATGCGGTTTAAAAGTTGCCAAACAGGTTGGAAGCATTTGGTTATTGTAGAGAAATCATTAGTCGCGTTTGATGCCTAATAGTTTTATGGCCAACTCCCAGGTGACGATTGCCGCTGCATTAGCAGGAAAAGCCCGAATAATAGTAGGACCCAAGCCAATATAGCATCCTTTCAATCCAGCCCTTCTGTAAATCTACAGAGGAAAAAAGAACAAAGGCCAATTTAAACATTTTCCGGGGGAGAGAGAGAGAGAGAGAGAGAGAGAGAGAGAGAGAGAGGTGTCCTTACCGAGCTCAAGATTTGAAATGGATTTCTTGTAGCGTTCTTATCTGTAGTCGTCTGAATTATGGTTTTTGCCACGTCCAAGGGTAGAACAGCCAACCAAAACTGGAAGTAGGGTGAGAACATCAGAATTTATAAGTCTAGTGGAATAAGAATGTGAGCTTGTGTACTAGAGAACGTTAAATTGTGAAGATGCATACTGCTATACCACCAAGGCCACCACTAGCAATCCCAACTCCCACGTCAATCAAGTTTCTGTGGTCAGTTGAAGCAGATTTCAATTGTAAATGCATGTGATAGCGGACATACTCATAAACGCTGAAGAAGACCGCATTTCCAATACATTCTCTTAACAATGTCGTAAAACCTCCTCGAAAAATTCCTCTAACCTGAAAAGCATTCAATCACCTAAAATGATCATAAAAAGTTATGCTTGCCACTGTCGCCAGAAATAACAGTATTTTCTTACGCCATCATTTTTCACAGTTGTAAGGACACAATCAAGAGGATTGCCATATCTTCTAGACATTGGGACCATAGAGTCCGTGCCTTGAATTTGCATCCTACACTGGAAAAATGCAGTGTAATAAGTTTACTGTGAGAAGCAACGGAACAATCTAAAAACCATCCAATTCCTCTTACCTTCACCAGCTCCGAGGGGCATAATATAAAACTGATGACTGATCCACTAAAAGCAGCAGATGGAATTATGACTTGGGGCTGTGGACCTGCACCTTGGGCACTTCCCTTCAAGTGTCATTGCAATTCAGAAGAATGTCACATAAGAACCATAACAGATACACAATATCTTTATAGAAGTCGTATCGATAGAGTCACTAAACTGGTTCGCTATTATGCATCTAACAGAAGCCATTATCCAGATCATTACAAAATAAAATAAACAAAGATTGTCCACTTTATTTTCGTTCAAACCTGCAGTGACTGTTTGATCTGGGAATACATGCCGAAAACAATTGAACTCTCAAAAGCCATCCCCACAAAAGATGATGTTGCCCCTCTGTAAAGTCCTTTAATCTGTTAAGGACCCAATATCAGTCAGCTCTCCTGGAAAAGATGATGCGAAACTCAAATTCTATAACATTGGCACCCTTTCCGAAAGAAAAATAGTTCTAGATCGTTACATTAGAGATATTCAGCTAGATAAAGTTCAGAATCATACACCTTCAGTCCTTAGTATCCTTGCAGTGCAATGCAAACTATTCCTGTACGTAATCCCGTGTGCTGAAGTGTTGTGTTTTTGCATCTTAACCTAATTCAACATTCAGAGACAACCTTAACGGGAAGCACAATTTACACATAGAGAGAAATTATCCATCCATTCTCACAGTTCACAAAAGATAATCTTAGAGGTAAACAATATCCAGAAATCATCAACTACAGATGTGACAAGACGACGAATGGATCGAAAGATTACAGCTTGGCCAAGGTAAATTTACAGAATATCAAGCTAATAAGAAAACAGGCCAACAATGTATACCTAAAGGAAAATTAAGCTCTGTAAGTTGCTACTAAAACCAAGTTTAGTATATCATCTAAATTTTGACTCTTTCCACTAATATCATACCAATCCAAACATTTCCAATCAAAATTTAAACTACCCAGATTCCAAAAACTAATCTTTGGCATTGTTTAACACATTTTACTTCCAAATTCTATCAAATTGCACTTGAAAATAAAATTAAAAGCTACACCCATTAAAGTAAACCTCACCATCATTAAACCCACTGACAGTTAACAAAATCAAAGAGATGTGACTTTACCTTGACGGTGTCAAAGGGATGGCCGATTCCAACGGTGGCCACGCCGGCGATCAAGCCCGCAACGTACTCCTTGTAACCAGAGTTGTCCGCCATATCTCCCTCTTTCTCTCTGTGCGAATTGGCTTTTGTTATTTCTGGGATTTTATCATGGTGTCCTTGTCCGTATACTCTGCGTCTCTCTGGAGTTTTGTTGAAATAGCTTAAGACCAGAGAGGCGGCGGCAAGAGAGACGAGAGGCGAGGCTCTGGGTCAGGACCGCCGCATACAAAATTTTATTGGGCTGTTTTGCGAAAATCGCAAATATTGTGCGATTGGTTTTGGTAAGTGCGATGTGACTTGAGACCCACTTTCCCAAAAGATAGCATATACGAACCCCAAAACTGAAAACACAGTTTTTAGCTCAACAAAATGTATCTACTCAATTTGAAGTTTAAGCATTTGTGAGGAGAAATTTTTTAATATGTCGAGAACATAATTCAGTACATTAAATATTATGCATTCATTTTTAATGATTCATATGCGACATCATCAAGGGGTAATGGAATACAGAAGAGCTATGGATGATAGGCAATTTTTTCTTATGTTGGGTCATGTTACTGAGACGGATAAAAGGTTATACCACTAACGGAGTAGTACTTTGGGTTAATATTTTTTTTTTTTTTTTTTTTTTTTTAGTTTTCAACTAATTGTATAACACTTAGTACGGATTATGTTTTCGGCATGTTGAAAAATCTCTCCATTACGAGGCCAAATTAGCCCAAGCATAAGCCTTCAATAGCGTGAGACCACTTAACAAGAAAAAATCTGGAAACCAAGAAAATATTGGTAGGAAGAGGAGGACGAGGCATTTTTCACTAGAAGCTAAAGCATTGTTAGTACTTTTCGACTGACAAGGATGCATTTTTCACAAGAAACTAAAGCATTGTTGGTACTTTTCTTCACTCCCTTACTCCTTACTGCAAATATAACTTTGCATATATGATATACTACAGTAGATATAAGACTGTTGTTCGGAACCGAGAACATTATCTCGCATTGCACAATGCTTTTCCTATAAATTACAAGATTCAATCCCTAATCGTATTGTTTTACCCCTGTACGTGAAGTCAGTCAAGCACAGCAAACACTACGACAAGTACGAAACCTGATCTCGGTTTTCTACAGATGACGCCTTTCAGTTTGCTACGAGAACGTTGCAGGATGCTGGCACGTCATAACTTGCTATGAACAACATTGTTAGGAAGTTTTCTTGCCTTGCATGTTGGGTTGGCATTTCAAACACATCTTTTCTTTCGGCGACAAATCTTGCAAACGAGAGCCTTTTCATTCTTTGTTGGTATCTTGTAGTAAAGAGTGTGGAATATGAGGCGGCAAAGGAGGGGGCTTGGGAGACAGAGGTGGCATCAACGCCCATACAGAAGAAAGATAACGGTTTGGCTGGTCAAGAACTTGGAGAAGTGAAAGATCCTGCATGTCTGTGCGAGAAAAACTGCAGTAGTCAGATCTCTCAGGATTGCTTACCTTCGGCTGCTAAAAAAGAACAGGTTCCACTACACATCTTATACGGTATGCCACCAACAATAAAACAAAAATTCAAGCACAGAAGATGAATTTAAACGACCGGTACGTGCGAAATAAAAAGTTGACTAAATAACATTTTGAGAGCTTGAAGATGGGCAGAAGAGCAGCACATGGAATGCTGAAGTTCAGATGCGGTACAACTGTTCCTCCACCATGCCTTGCATTACTGTTTCAAGAATATATCTCATTAAACGGACTTACATAAATCAAATGAACACGTCTAAGATCTGAATGGACGATGATGACACTGAAAGCAGCTTCAATAACAACGTAGATACGCAACACGTTCGTAGAAATAACAAACTTCATACCATTGAAAGTGCAAATCTGTGATTCTTATAAAACATGGCTGTACACAGAGCAAAATAATTAAAGACAATCAGCATACAACAATTTAGTTCTTCATACCTTGTAACAGGTCCAATCATATGACCCTCTGAATTAACGACAGCGCCGCCACTACCACCAGGATGGACAGCAGCTGCTGTTTCAACTTCAAGCATCGCAGGAAAAACTCCTTGAGTATTTCCTGGTTGGTTCGTTTGATATGAGAGCGGAAACTTTCACTTTAAAACTTTTGTGACAACACCAAAACAAGTTGATGGGGAGAAACCTAATGTGATTAAACTCAATCAGGATTCAGGACATGAAGCATAAGAGGACTTTTTAAATCAAGCAAACAAACAAGCCAATTTTTGGAGGGGGGGAAACAAGAATTGCACAACAGATGCAAGGACATATGTACAGTTCCTCCCTCCCAACCGTGGCACTAAGATTCAACATCCATTTTTCCGAACTATATGCATCAGTAATGCAGCGCGAGTATCCGAAGAGAACTTCAAGCTTAGGATCTGCATAAACTGTATCTATGCATAAAGTTCTTTTTCAGGTTCAACATTGTCATGCTATTTGTTAATGGAACCGGATCCCTCCGAACCCATAGGAACTAAGCCAGGATCCTTTGATCGAGACCATTGAAATTTGATCAAACAGTTACAATTATTATAATTTTAGAGGGACCCTGTTTGTAGTCGTTGAATCAAATTTCAATATCCTGAATCATTTGATCATTAAACTTAGTACCTTTAGGTCTGGAGGGGATCCGATTACAAATCCCTTATGTACAGTAAATCTTGACTGGATTGTATAAAAGGCCAAAAGAAAATGACATGCAGACACAATCAAGTCATTCATTTCCAAGGGGCACCCGAATTCAAGCAAACAGAAACAAGTGGATACTTTTACCAATTTCCCCTCTGTATGATTGTTTAGGAGAGTATTGGCGTATTAGATGAATAAAGCGTTGTCTTATAGATACTTTATTGGTTAGATCTTGATTATACATGTAGATACATGGTGCTTTTAGTTGAAAAATAAGCATAAGAGACGTCAAACACGGAATAATAAGTCACAATTTAGTTATCTAACATTCTGACAAATTCAATATCTTCCAATGAATGTCAGACGTGTTACTTTGACAAATCTCTAACCATACTTTCATTGTACCCGACTCAATACGCTCAACTTTAACATAATAAATTATTGCGAATCCCAATTTCAAACTTAGACATTATCAATGAAGTATTTGGTGAAAAAGGTTCAAAACCAAAACAAAAATGTTAAGAAAACATGAAACTCCAAATCTAATAGATTGATAATGGACTTGTATCGGTTTAGGGCTAGTTTAGTAAGAACAAATTAAACAATAACAATAACAATAACAAGTCGGTGGCAATAGAGAGAAATTAAAGAGAAAATAAGATTCGGGTGCATGTTAGTTAATCAATCAATATTCTCCTTTTTGAATTTCCGACGAAAGTATCATTAAATGGTATAGGTTTTATGCAAAATTTAATCCTTATACAAATTTGTTATATTTCTACATGCAAAATTAATCGTTAAATTTATTAGATCATTAAATAGTACGTAACATGAAAGAATAATTGTTCTATTAGAGAGTTTTTATTTTTATTTTTATTTTTTTAATTTATAATTTATAATTTTTATGATTTTATTTTTACTACAAATCCAGGAATTGCCAGCAACTCAACGTAAACCCAAAAATTAAAAAAGCAAAAACAAAAACAAAAACAGAAAAGTAAAGCAAAAAAGTAAGATATATTTACCATATTACCCAAGCTTGAATTGTCTCCATTTTTTTTTAATTTTTTTTTTTATAAATAGAAGAATTTTCGGTAAGACCACGAGCCTCTACCCCTCCGCCTCTCTCTCTGGTCAGCCACACTCCACCCCCCACCACCGCCCACCACCGCCACCTTCATACCTCTCTATCTCCTCTCTCGGAGAGCACCACAATCAGCTAACAATTTTAGCTCACACACAACGGTTCCGTTCCTTGCTAAAGTTCCGCTGCAAGCCAGAGCAATGCCGGCACAGAAGCGCACCCATGAGGCCATGGAAGATGATCCTCCGCAGAACCACCGCGAAAACAGCCACGAAAAGCCGCAAGACGAAGAGGGTACGTCTTATTTCTCCCAACGCCCAAACCCAACTCCAGATTTTTCCAACCCACCGCATATACAAACACCGTACACGCACGTTTCTTCCCCCTCACATGGTTTTTGGATTTTTGTTTTCTCTGATTCTCTGTGCTGTTGCTTCATCTGTTCTCTCTCATCCCTTTTGCTCCTCAGAGTCCGATCGAAGCCCGTCTCAGAGCACCGAAGAGAAAGACGAGTGAGCTTTTTCTCTCTTTTTTTCTTCATTGCTTTTCTCTTTCTTCTGTTTTTGGTGGTCGTTTCCGTTTATTGTGTAACTGTTTGATGTTCGAATGCTGGGTGTGATTTTGGATCTGCATGCTTATCTTCGTGCTGGGTTTTGTTTTGTTTGTGGTAATCGAGCGGCTGCTGGGTTTGAGCTGGGTGGATTGACGTGTGTATGCGACTGTGAAAGCAATGGCTTTTGGGTTGATGTGGGTTTTCTCTTCTGTTTTTCTGGGATGGATTGCTGTGTTTGTGTTGGGAAGAAGGTTGGTGGAGTTGGGTTTTGGATCTTTTGAATTCGAGCTTCAAATTCCATCGTGCATGGGTGGTTCAAGCATGTTGCCCAATCTGGTTTGCTCATTAGCTGCAGATTCTGATCATTTTCCTTTCGCTTCTTGTCAAAATTTTCGATGATTGTTGGGTCATTTCGAGCAGAAATTCTCACTCTCTCAGTCTTGCTGGTGCTTGGCTGAAGGAACAAACAACCTGCTTACTCTACTGGGTTCTCATTGTTCTGCTAAACTTCCACATAGAAGTGTTTTACTTACAGAATATTTACCACGCCAAGCTTGCTAGTTTTTACTCGTTAGATTGAATTGTTGCCATGTTTATAAAAGAAAGCAACTAACGTTCTTATTTTCGTTTTGGGATATGGTAAACAATGCTGACAATAACGTTAATATGCATGCTGAATTGGGCATTTGTATGCTGCTTGCAAAATGCAACCCCATAACATGCAGCAGTTTATGTTCTAGTTTCGATATGCATATGTGTTGTCCAGGCTGATAAAATGGTATGAAAAGTTCCATGTAATGATGGATTTATGCTTGAGGACGAAATCAATATTATAAAATGATCAATGATTTATTTTATCTGATCATGGCACGGGGTGGGCTTGGCTATGCTTACAGATGCTCTTTCTGCAGAAAATCTGTACTTTCATTTTTTTCTCTCTTTTGTGCTAGGTTCTGTATTTCCCTCTGAGAAATTGAAGTGCACACATTTTTCATTCTTTATATAATTATAAAGCGTGCAAAAATAAAAACTTGCACATAGGGCAACCTACATATTATACATTACATCTGCTCTATGCTAATTTTTCTTTTTATTGGTAATATACACAGATTTGTCATAGTGAAATTGGCAGAAATTCGGAAAGAAGTCCAGTGCCCCATCTGTTTAGGTATGTCTTGGGCTCTTGGCATACTAAATTTTGGATTATAACTGGATCAAGATGGGAAGTAAGCATTTTGATCTCTTCTGGTTCTATTTTTTTGTAAAAGGTAATATTGTTGGGGACCAGTATAGAGTAAAGCTCATTATCTATTATCAAGGGGAAGTTGATCGTTCAGTTCTAGAACATCATAGTAGCTTCGCATGCTTATGTCGTTTGTTGTGTGGCAGCATTGATATTAGAATATCTTGAAATGCCTTTGTCTAAAAGTTTTCTTGCATACAAGTCAGAAATATTGGTTTTGTTAACTTATCCGAAACCATATATTGTATGTACCACTTTGTCAGTGCCGAAACATCAGCTACCAATAGAGGGTAGTGATCTTTGGTTCCGCTGTTTTCTGTTTCAACTCTATCCATATACCTTTATGAGAAATCCCATGCCCACTATCAATGTGTTTGCTCTGCTGACATAGACATGAAATTTTTTGTTTTTAACTTTTTTATACTGCATAAAATTTGTAGTTGGGTATGGTAGAGAGCTCAATATTTGTCTCATTTTCTCAGAAGTTTGTGGTTGTTTCTTTTTACAAGAATATAATTTAAAGACAGAAATTTTTTGTGTAATTTGTAAAATATTTTATCCAAAAAATATCTAAGAGTTATATTTGCAAATTCTGTGGCGACTCTGAGTTGGTCCTTACATCTTCTTCCCTAAAATTGCAGTTGTTAGGTTTTTTTATGTATGTTAGAATTTATGGATTACATTCTTCAACAGAATTACTCTGTTTAGAGAATTTATGGATTACATTCTTCAACTACTCTGTTTACAGAGTCATATTTTCATGATAGTAGCTCATAGGTAGTTACATATTAATTGAAAGATGGTCATCTCAGCTCAACAAAGCATCAATGCTGTCAAACTTATTATTTTCTCTTTTTTTTGGCCCATAACTCTGTTAACGGAAGCACATAAATTTCTATGTCATGGTAAATTCATTGGAAGAAATAGAATTATATCCTCAGGTTTATATCCAAAGCCTTAAAATTTTATATTATCTTTTGAATATCTTCCTCTGATAAACACAAGCAGCCTTATTGATGTGCCAATATAACTTAAAACCATTTGGACGGTCTAAATCTATGATTTTCACATCCAATAGTTCTTTGTTCATATTAGAATTTTTCTAAATATTGAGACAATTAATCAGACTATATAAAGCAAAGTACTCATTGGTCCCTTTTACATTCGCACATTGGAAAAGAAAAGAAATTCATTCACCGTTTGGTATCTATAGGGATCATTCGGAAAACAAGGACAGTGATGGAATGCCTGCATCGCTTCTGCAGGGAATGCATTGACAAGTCCATGCGCCTGGGGTACGTCTTCAAACTATTACTTTTTCCTTTTTAATTCAAATGAACATTCAAGTTATTTTTGTCATACAGATTTTGTTTGGAGGATGTTACAAAGTATTAGAAAGTTTGAGTTTGTGGCTTTACTTCTCAATACTGGTAACTGGGTTTCGCTGCAGGAACAACGAATGCCCTGCCTGCCGCACCCATTGTGCAAGTCGTCGCTCTTTGAGAGATGACCCAAATTACGATTCCTTAATTGCAGCTATATATCCGGATATTGACAAGTATGAGGAAGAGGTACTACGATGTTGATTTACAAAATCTCAACTGTAAATTTTATTTTTTGTAAGTTAAATTATAACTGAGAGAATTGACGGTTGATTACCTCCTGTAGGAATTGGCTTTTCATGAAGAGGAGAAGGCTCGCAATAAGCAGGTGACCATTCAAGTTTCAAGTTTCTTTTAGGGTTAATAATATAGTTTAATTGGAAGTTAACCCTAAATAAATAAAAATAACAAACTGCGAATTATTCTAGTTTTCTCATGCAATTGATGAGTTATCTGGTTTTGTAAAACCCTGGAACAGTAATTCCTTGAAACTTTTAGTTAAGACTTGATTATCTATTTGTATGTGGGTCTTATCTGTGTCCCATTACCGAAAAGAACGCAATTTCTACATAATAAGGTATTACACTAGAATCATCGCATTTTCATCATTTAGGTGTTACTCGTCACCATGAAGTTAGTGGAACTGTATAGAGATTTCTTTTTGTTCTTAGTTTGTTGCTTCGGGCCCTTGATCTTTGAGCTTATTTGCACAGATCCAAGCTTCCATTGCCCAGACATTTCGACGACAAACCGAGGCACTAGGAAGGAAACGAACAGCTAAAGCCACTGCAGCTGCATTTATGAGGAGATCACGGGGTAGCTATCGAAATGCAAGGGGGAGAAGGAGCTATAGAAATGTTGCTGAACATCAAGGGTCCAATGACAATGAGGATGTAAATGGTGATGATGGCGGTAGAGATTTATCATCAGGTGATGAGCGCACAGAACCAAGACCGAAGAGATCCAAAAGATGGAGAGGAGATCGATATTATCAGCCCTCATCAGCAGCTGCTAATGCAGATAGTGATGATGAAAATGATTATGAAATGAACAAATCAGAGATTCTGGGTGCATCTTTGGGGCGTGTTGGCAGCTCAGAGAGGCTTTCCTGGGGAAAAGGTGGCATGCGGAGTCATACACGGTATGGCAGTACAAGTGGTGGCAGTGGTAAAAATGCCAGGAACATCCGTCTCTCTAAGTTGGTAGAGTATCTTCGGAACCCAGGAGATAATGATGACGAGGTAATTTAGAGTTTAGGCTGACGATCTTGTCATGACTCCTCTGTGATAGGGGACTGTGAGCAGTGCCTTTTGAGATCATTCCTTCCCACACGCTATGTATATATGATGTGCATTTAGACTTTTTATCTGGCAATCTGCTTTAGTACCGAGATGGTTGGATCAAACGTTTTCTCATTTTTTTCAGTTGGACATCCACCTCCTGCTTGTATCTTTAGATGAGCAAAGAATACCAAGTTTGCAGCGGCCATATCTTTGCTGCAGATCTACTCTGTCAGTTGGACAACTATGTCAGGTGATCCTTCAGCTGTTTGCTGCATTTTTCATTTGATGGCTTTTTCACAATCTCTGATCTCCGAAGCTTTCATCACCATACCGAAACTGGTTTTATTTGTTCACAGTATGTAGCTCTCCGAACCGCGTGTCAAGCTGAAGAAGTTGAAATATATTTGGTGAAAGAGCTGCATGCCGAATTCAGTCATTCAACTGCCACCAATATTCAAATTTCCAAGTCTCTTGTTCTTGATTCAAGCAAAGAAAACCTGCAACTTTTAAAAGAAGAAGAAACTTTGGCAGAACTTAGAACTCACAATCTCATTCCTGGCTATCTGGTGAGCAGTGAGCACTTCTTTCAAATTTCACACTATCAATAGAGCTAGCGGAAACTTGTGCGGGACGAAGGCTTGCGTGTCAAGAAAGAGAGAGTCTAGAGGTTTTTAAAAATTTCCTTTTCTTTCTTAATATTGTGCTTATTTGTATGTATGATTTTTGCAGATTTTGGCATATCAGAAGAAGTGGAACTGAAGCCGACGATGACGAGAAATCTGAAAACAAGTGGTTCTACCTTCTCTTTCTCCTTCTCCTTTTATGTTTACTGTGATCACCCAGCTGCTGGCATATGTTGTTGAATAGAAGAGTGTCTGTTTTAGAAACTCGCCGCCAAGTACAGAGCAATTTGGATGCAGATGCAAATCGCCATGTCATGCTCCGAGCTTGTTACCAACTCAACTGTTATATTATATGTACTTATACAATATGAATTGGGTAGTGCTATTTATAACATCATTTTTACCTCTCGCACTCTTGTTAAATTTTTGTTTTTCTTCATTTCATTCAATCTTACGATCGAAAATCGAGAGGAGTTTGTGAGAATGAATAATGGGTGTGAGTAACACAACCCTATGAATTTTCTTCCAGTCTTTAAAATAGTCTTTTCAATTAGGCAGTATACCAAAGTTGAAAGTAAACTCTCTCTCTCTCTCTCTCTCTCTCAAGATTCATTTTCTGTATAATCCAATCTAATCACTCAACAACGAGAGAGCTTTACATGCGTTGCGGGACGCCATCAATAATACAATGTGCGGGGTGTTAAAAAGTATTGTATTATTGATAAGAAACATTACAATAGCTTTTCGATGATTCCACCAATAATAAAATGCCGTATTATTTTATTGTCTTATTGACAAGAGACGTTACAATCTGCGGGTTTGTAAATTGTATTGCAAGCAACATTTCAATTCAATCCAACACACCAAAACAAAGCCTAGCCCCCACCTAATCTGTCCTTGAACAAAAATGAAATAGGTGAATCTCCCATTTCCATGATTCCATTTTATTATGGACCTATATGAAGATTATGATCAAAGATAATGTATCATAATTTGTCTCTTCCCAATGGGCCCCACTCACCAACCTCACGTAACGTCTCAATTGCAATTCTCTCTCCTTATCCATAGACATGTGGGTCTCTTTACATGGACAGACCAAATTATTAAAAATACAAGGACGATATACCACATATTATAATATGAAAAAAAATTAAAATATCTAATATCTTCTGTATAATAAGCTATCAACTTGAAATACTTCCACGTTGACGTATTTATGTATTTAAGCGTATAAAGTCGTCCTCAATCCTCATTGGATTCTTATCTCGTTTAGATAGATAACATTGGAAATAAATTCTCTTCATATCTCTTCCATCAATACTCACCGAATCACGTCCCACCGGTTCAAGCAATTCGAATCCTTGAAATTTGATTATAACCTCCTTAATCATAATAACTTAAGTTGTTTGATATAATTTCAAAAATCTAGATCATTTGATCCGATGGCCTTAATAGAAGAGATCCGATGGTCCCTTCAATAAAACCAAATAACTAAGTGCATCATAACATCTAATAAAATACAGAAGATATTTATTTATTTGATTATAGTAAAAACACGACAGCAACTCCTCACAACCATCCAACGTTAGATCTGACCCAACAATCATCACCGCACAAGCGTTCAGACAATCTCACATATCATAATTCCAAGACAGTGAGCTCTCCTGGAAGAAAGCCCTAGATACAAAATCCATAAGGATACCTAATCGTATTGCCATCAGAAAACCCTCATCGGGGCGCGTGGCAAACACTGAGATGAAAAGGTACACTATTTACATGCAGCCCCTGGCGGCTGCTGGTGAGCTCAGTTGTTTCTTCGTCACCTTAACGATGATGGATGCTCCTGGTCTCCCCGCTGTAGAGCCTGTGAGATCAGATCACACATAAAAGGTTAACCCATGATCGCAACAAGAAACCATATAGATCTAAACCCGACAAACAGATCCTCGATCTACGGCTTAGATCTATTTACGTTAATATTAAAATACGCACAAACAGAACCCTATATAATCACGGTACTTATAGTATCCATATTTGTATCTTTCGGTTCTTTCTTTTTTTTCGATTAAAAATTTGCAACTAGTTCTATGCGTACGTTATTAGGGTTAGGCTACGTATACATACCAGTCGTAGACAGTGGGAGAGTTGGGCTGTGGCTTGTCGAAAACCTGGTTGCCCATGGATTTGGTGGCAAGGTTGCTACCTGGGTGGAACACACTCCTCCAAACGTTGTCTTTAGCACGAGCGGAAGCTGGTGTGCCCGGGGTTCCTGGGGTGCCTGGTGTTCCGGGGCTCATCGGCATCGCCAACTTGCTCGACTCTCCCTCCACTTCAAAACATGACCAAGTTAATATTAATTAAAACCCAAAAGTAAAAACCTCTAAATCCTTAGCAAATAACATATTAAAAAGGGACAATGATCGACGAAGAAAGAACGAACGTCGTGCTCAGAGAATAATTGTCGTACCTTTGATATTCAAGGGCTTAGGAGACGGCTTCCTAAGCATGCCAAGGCCGCGTTCAGGCTGAGGTCCGGCGACAATATCATCCCAAAGCTTTTCAAGCAGAACCATTTTTGCTCTCTCTCTCTCTCTCTCTCCCTCCTTTTCTTCTCTCTCTATCTAGGGTCTAGATGGTTCTATTTATAATACAACTTGAAGCTAAAATATCTCCTCTCTCATTAAAATTTTGCTAAAAAATTATGCTATTAATGCACTCAATTTTATTTTTGTATCTCCTCTCAACCTTCAATAGTCAGATATAATAAAGAAAAGAAAATCGATTGATAAAAATTAACAAACGTACGTAAAAAATAAAAATAAATGTATATGTAACACTATCTTTTTGTTATCTTTTGTTTTGCTACTTCCACCTGGGGTGGTGGCATTGATATTGAATTAGGGATTATGAGAATAATGCTAAGGTGATTAAATTTGTAAACAAAATTTACAACTTAAATAATATGTCATCAATAAAAAATAATCATGTTTATCAATGTTTAATAATCCAGTCAGGAGCTTCCATATTTTTTAGTTTATAAATTTTATCTACAAATTTAGTTTCTGTAATATTACTTTTTAACTAGAATTAAGATGAGTGGCTATAGTAAAAATGAGAGTGGAGAAAAGGACGAAGGAAATGGATAAGACTGAAGACTTGCTAAACTTGGGTCCCGCCATAAAATATCCACCTAAGATCTAAATGTCAGTTACTTGGGGCTTTGCTTCACAAGTGTACACTCAATGCCTAAACGTTTGTCCTATTCCTCAGAACAATGTGGGGCCCACAAAGTGATGGAGACCTGGGTCAGACTGACATGTGGGAAACTTTGATTGGGGTTCGTATTTTCCAACAAGTCCTCAATTCTTGTCAGTGGCTCGTTTGGTGCGACAAATTTTTTAGTACGCGAAAAACACATTCCGTGTATTAACTATTAAGTATAATAATATAATTAGTTAAATTTTTTATCGATATCATTATATTTAATGTATCTAGTTATATTCTCGACATAATTTGGTACATAAGATTCGACTGGATTGCATAAATCCCAAGCTTCAAAATATGTTGAGATAAAAAATAAAAAAATTTCAACCAAATCGAGAGTAAAAGATTAATTATTCAAAACAAAACTTATCGATTATAATTCTCTCCAAACTCATAATAGGATTAGAAGGATAAGTTTACTTTCATCCTCTTTATTAATGAAATATGATTTTTTTAGAGCTGGTTTGGTATTACTGTGTTTTAAAAAAAAAAACTGATTCTGCCGTACTGTGAGAATAAGCAGCTGTGAAATAAAGCAGCATAATGTTTGATAAATTTTTTTGTAAAAGTGATTTTGGAAAAAAAAAAAAAAAACAGTATTATAGTGTTTGATAAACTTTTATGTAAAACAGATGTGAAAAAAAGCCGGTTTTTCAAAGATGAGTTTTGCAGCTTTGTGTTTTTAGCTTTTTTCATCCAAAACTGTGAAAAAAAAACTGAAGCTGAATGTTTACCAAACATATAAAAGCTCCCAGCTTTTTTTGATAACCAGAATCACCTCAGTATCAAACTAAGGTTTAACCTTAAAAGAGATAACAGTGTTGGAGCATCTTCAAGAATTCATACAACTGCAACAATCGGGTCATCCCTTCATTTGGCAGATTGTGTTCTCTCTCCAAACTAAACCTAAGGCCCAAAACTCACCTTCCGAATTAGAATCCGAATCCATCTCTCAAATCCAGAAAATGGACTCGGTTTCAAGGCCCAACAATCAAACCAAAGTTTTTGACCCACCTTCCGGATCCGAATCCACCTCCCGAGTCCAGAAAATGGACTCGGTTTCAAGGCCCAACAATCAACCTAAGTTTTTGACGAAATAGTCAAATAGTGATGATATTGTGTACCAAGCAATTGGACAAAGCACGTCCACCAACAAAATCATTCCATTACTTCGTAAGTAGGTGATTTAATTAGAGAAATTGTAAGAGGATTCTCTTAAAAGTAGAGCTCTTTATAGATTCTCTGTCGTCTCATGTTTTTAACATAATGTTTTATAATGTTGGCATAGAAATTAACGGTAAACTGTGAGATGTTAGAAAGTTCATGAAAAATTCAACTTTGAGAGAATCCCTTAACATTTCTTTTTTTTTTCTTTTTTTAAAAAAAGGGACCAACTTCTTGTTTCGCCATGACAATCCACTATTTTGAGGGCTAAAAAAAACTCACAAAAGCATTTCAACCTCCTGCTAGTCGAACCCGGGACGTGCCTTGTGAAATACGAGTCTAAAATTCGTCCCTAATTATTGGACAGCCGTGGTGGTTAGTCCCTTGGCATTTCTATTTTATTAACATTGCTAATGCCATCCTCGATAACATCAGCTTCTTAAAGCGAAGTTTTGTAATTAATGTCGAGATCAAAAACACCAGACAAAAGTTCCTTGGAATCTCGAAGCCATCTTTATTTTTAAGGTTTTGTAGATGAACAACAGATTTGGTGGGGAGTCGGCGTCCGGCCGCACCCACAACCATTCCACAAAAATTATAATTTCTACAAACTTAATCCAAACCTTGTTATTACTTTACCATTTTAACACCAGTTAATTCTTTGGTATCATCCACGTCCATACCAAAAAAAACACCAACAAGGCTACAAGTTGCCTGCCGACAACCATGTATCAAACTCATCACTAACATATATACATCATTCTCGACATCTATGCGAGTCAAACTTCGAAAATACCCCAACAAAACTTGCTGCAAGTCGCAACTAGGTATCGTAACTCATCACAAGTATAAATCATCATTGCCATCTATGTAAGTCGAACTTGAAACCTTCTCAAACCAAGTGAAAGACAGATACCAATAGATCAAAGGCTAGTTTCAAATTTTACGCAATTAATGAATCATAAAAACTATATTGAATATTCGAAATATTCTCATCATATCTCGTTGTTTCCAAGCTGCCTAACCATCCAAAATAATAGAAGGAGAAGAGTATATCATGGCTGACACAATACGGCAAAAGCAGCAGAAGTGAAAAATAAACAAACAAGACAAAAAAGAAATAGTTCAAAACTTCAAATCCACACCTGCTCCCCTTATCCAGAAGTGTATATATAGAACCTGGAAAGCTTGGAACCATGAAAGCATCATCATCGAAGCAATGGCAGCCCACCTGCAAAACAAGATCGCTGTGGATGCTGCAGCCGATAGCAATTCACTTGATTCCTTATCATTCGTGGGCCTCATCTGTGTTCAGGATCAGCAATCCAAGTGCCTTCCTCCTACTAACAATGCTAATCAAATTCACAAACAAGACACAGAGTTTGAGTTCAGTCACACAGAGTCCATTGTCACTGACCCAATCAAGCATTACCCAGCAGACCTCTTGATCTCGAATGGTCAGATCGTACCAAAAGCAACTGCATTTGAATCAACGCAACGTCTCAAGACTGACCAGCTTCGCATCAATGGTCCAGTACAAGCAACACTTACCAGAAATAAGAGATCAACTGATGCCAGAAATAAGAGATCAACTGAAACCACCGGTGGCACAGAAGTATATGCTAAGCCAATTCCAGAATCCAGAAACCAAGAGAAAAAGGAGAAGCCTGCGCCAACATCATCGTTTGGCAAGAAAATATTCAATTCACTTTTCTTCCCTTGCAAGGAATGCCAAGTTGCTAAGCCAATCGAGGGAGCACATAGAGTGTCAGAACAAAATGGGAAGTCACGTTGACATGAAGCTTCTTTTCTTTTGAATTCTTTCTAATTCAGCTAATCAGAAGTCCATTCAAATAGTAGAGAAGAAACTTAGATTTCGAAGTGAGGCTTCAATATAACCTGAGTTTGTTTCAGTTAGCAACAATCAATAAATTTCAGATATGAATTTGTTTTCTGAGCTCTGATCAATAAACAACCCGATGATAGATTCTCAACAGTCTCAGGTCACTTAAAGTCACTAATACAAATCTGTTTTGCAGCAGTCAATGCCATAAACCGATAAACAGTCCCGACTTCTTTATAATCTATATTAACGCTTCATCATACAGCACAGTGCATTGTATAGAGAACTACAAAAAGTATAATTCAACCTACCAGGATCAGATGAAGTTATCTGATATCCTACAGGATTCATGGCATCTCAGTATCGTTTCTAACGTACTGAAGTCGTTCATCAGTGTAAGGCTGCCTGGATCTAACACTAACATTAACACTACAGATCATTTCCCAAGCCCTGTGTTTGCCTTTTCTTTTACTTAATCCTAATCTTGATCATACCAAAACTAAGCTACTTTTTGAAACTTGTTAGGCCTTTATGATAACAAATTTTGACTCGGGTTGAGAAACCATACATCTGGTCAAACCTAACTTATTCTAGAGATGGGAAAATGGAAAATTATTACAGCATGATTAATTTTACAGCTTTTGTAGTTGCAGCTATCAGACCTCACCAACAATCCCATATGTAAGTTATTTTCCGAAAGAAAATCTAAGTTTTAGGACTCCATGACAATAAACTGTTTTAGGACTCCACGGCAATGGAACTGTCAAAAACATTTCACATCAAACATGAGAGTAAATTACCAAAGTATGAAATAACAGCATGCCATAGAAAAATAAGAGTACCTCAATCCACATTTGTCTTCACATAATGAAACACTACCCAGAAGAATCTGAACAATTACAGATCATGATAACAAAAAAATGAGGACGGAGGAGGAAGAGTAAAACTTCAAATTACACTGCTAGCAATTATATGCCAACTTGAATTTCATAAATTTAAATTGAACATCTTTTAAGTATTTACAATATCTGAACCATTCACTTTACTATCCTAAAGTAAAACTGCCACTCTCCAAGTGCTTTGTAGGCAGTATAAAGGTACACGTAAACTCAAGAATCAAGATACCCAAAAATTGATCAATTACATATCCATCCTAACTCATGGAAGACTAATGTACACACTGTAAGTTCAATTTCAAAGGGTCCAAAATGGGTATCATTAATTCCCAATTTCCCAAACCAAAATGTTTCATTTAACCTTGTCACTCCACAGCACCTAAAAATTGAAGACTGACCTTAGAAAGACTAAGAACCAGCATTTACACTTGATAAAATTTGCAAAGACCCTCAAGCTGAGTTAATTCAAGCCTAATGCAATCTTCCTTGCATAAAAATGAAATGAATGATAACCAATTTCTTATAACACAGACTAAGATAAGTCCTAGTTATGACACCATTTACCTCACAATCTATGAATTGGCAGTAACATAAATAATTTATGAAAGAATAAATCTTGTAAGAAAACTAAAAACTTTCTACAAAAACTCAGTTTTGATTATATAAAACAGGGGATACTAAACCAACCGTCCATGACCTCTGATTAGTCAACTGTGTAGGAAAATTTGCAAAAGAAAAATCACTTTGCCTAACATCTCAAGATTTTCCATATTTTACAACATATCCCTGCAATGAAACAAGTGGCTGTCAGATTCCATGAACAATTGTATACTCAAAACCCAAGATCTGCTTCATCACACTATCACCAGAAATTAAAGAAAAAGAAAAGGCTAACCTCAACAAGCTTTGAGATTTTTGGACGGCATACAGACAAGTAATGCATAACTGTTTCTATGGTTGGTGGGATTTGATGGGGCTGAAAAGCACTGATAATCTTCTCTACTGCTCTCTTGACTATCATGTTATGTGCATCCTTGCTGAGACTACCATCACGCCATTTTGGTTTTAACATATCTTTTACTAAATCTACAAGAGCTGCACGGAAATTCCTCACAGCTTTTGATTCTTGCTGTACATTCCCGTCTGTCAAATGTTCACCATCCACTTCATTCTTATCTCTAAATCTATCTACTTTTATGTCTTCTTGGTGTCTAGAACAGTCACTTTCATGTCCAGAATCACCATACGCCGTACTGGCTTTGTTTTGTTTTGTACTACCTTTGAGATGAGACGGGCCCAAGGGATTTTCTTCTCCAGTCATGGTTCCTTTTTGGCATACAGCATTAGTCCCCAATGTCTCTGCTTCAGTGCCAGGTGAATTATGGTCACGTATATAGCAGCTATTATCTAATACCTTCTCATGATATGTATTATGTGAAGACATAGAGTTTGTATCACCATCACAACCTGTCCGTGTGGTCCCACTAGCAGATTCACCATGTATTTGCTGATGCAATTTATTCACAGCGGTTGCCCCTTCAGGATAGAAAGAAGTTTCACCGGAGATGTTTGCTAACTTTGGTAACTCAATGCTGTCCCGAAGAGGGTCATACTGCCTCCCTGAAGATGATAGAAATGCATGAGGAAGAATAAAAGATGGCCGGAAAGGCACAGATGGCTCCCAGTCATTTGAAGAAATTTTTGTTTTAATTTCAGCAGAGCACAATGACACGCTGGTCACAGGAAAACTTTTCAACTCAGAACTAGAGAAGGGAGAAGAGCTTTTCAGCAAGGGAGGTAATCTAGTACAAGACCTGGTAATCCCTACTTCGATCAAAAAGCTTAAGAGTATCATGAGGACTTGCATCGAGATTGGAAGAACTAGAAGGCAACGAAAATCCAGTCCAAGATGAAATACGGCTAGTTGGAAACAAGCCAGTAGTTGAAAGATTTCTTGAGCTTGAATTCAAAGCAAGGTTCACGAGTGGGGAACTATGAACACGGTGCACATGCTGGCTCCAAATTCCATCTGGTTCCCCCATACCGCTCGTATGTGAAGAGGTCTTCCTTATAAAGTACTTGCCTGATGATGAAATAGATCCATTTGAAAAAAATCCAGGTTCAGGATGCAAACCGCTCATAAATATAGATTTATCTTTATAAGAAAGCCAATTTCGTGTCTGATCATCTCTTTCTATATCCTTAAGCGAAGAGAGAAAGCCTGGATCATCTTTGGATGAATGCAATTTCTTTGCAACAGTGGACTCGCCCACATTTGATTCCTCCTCTATAACTGTTGGAAACTTGCGCTTTTCATGAAACTGGTGCTGTCTTCCTATGTGTTCCAAAAATCGGATCTTTTCAGATGTGAGATGTGAAGAAAATGCAAAATCACTTCCACTTGAAGAGGCCAGAGGTTCACGAAAACCAGGTGACCTTGATCTCTCAGTAATGTCTCTTAGGCCTGTTACAATAGAAGGGTGTTAATAAGAACGTCATACGAGAGCACTTTTTTGACATCCATACCCAAGAAGATACAACGTACCTTCATCAAGCTGGACTTCTCTAGTAGAATTAGCAATATCTCCCTCAGGTTGTGGTTGGGAACTAACGGGATTATCTTTTACATGGACGAATTTACAAGAACTACCTCTAATGCACCAACCCTTCGCATGGAAATCACATATAATAGCTGGGTGCTTGTTTCGATCACTAGTCTCAACCGCAGGAGACGTAATTGTGGTCCCTATCTCAAAAGCACCCGACCTGAAAAACCTGACAGTTAGTGGGATGGGTGAAGGTTTGGTTCAAAAGGTAAATAATTAGCCACCAGGTACGCACGTTAATCCAACACTCTAAATATTGAAAATGCATTGGCTTTGGTTCTACAATGAAAAGATTTTAAACGTATAAAGGGCCAACACATCACCTCACCTTGAATCCATTTGCTTTCTATCATTCCTCTGCCGCATGTCCACTTGTTTCATCCCATCCTCTGGGCTCACAACACCTCTAACCTCCTTACCTAAATTATCCCTCATCGGGATGGCATCAGCCATCTCTTCCCCGCCAACTCTACATGAGCTGGCGGCTTTAGCATCCATAATCTCACTATTACACACATGACTGTTGCCATCATCGCGTAGGTCTACAGAGGTTCTCTGGCCTGAAAGGATTCCAGCATCCTTGTTAACAACCACATAATCATCTTTTATACCAAAATGTTGGTGAGAGATAGAATGTTGATACGTATTCGATAACAATCCAGTTATCCTTGAGCTAAATTTTTCTATAAAACCGGAACACATTCATCTTCTAGCTAAGGGATATATGATTGAATCGAATAACGGGTGGATTTCGAATCAAGTAGAATGCTTTACCTATAAGTTCAAACGAGCAAACCGAAACCTTTTCCCAAACTCTTCAAACTACAGTTCCAAGTTTACAACAATTCGTCATAACCCAATTGCATTACTTAATTTCACCTAAAATTTTCCAATTAAGCTAAAAAGGCACAGCATTGAAACATGAATTGCTACAATCAAGCCATATTTTACAGAATCAATCTAAATTCGAAGTCAAAAGAAGCAAAAAACACCGAAATTTCAAAAAAAAAAAAAAATCAAACAAATTATAAGAAATTAAAATTAAACTAGGTTAATAGAAGAGGTAAATAACCGTTCTGATGATCATGGGCTCGAATTGGCGAATCTGAAATATCCATATCCACTTCAACCCTTCCTTCTGCTTCGTCTTCCATATTCTCTTCCGCCTCCGCCGCCTCCTCTTCTTCTTCCGCCTCCGCCTCCTGCTCTTCCTCCTCTTCTTCCGCCTCCGCCTCCTGCTCTTCCTCCTCTTCTTCTTCCACTTCTTCTTCTAACAACTCGGGGTCTTCTTCTTCTTCCTCGATATCGGAGTCGGAGCATTCGGCCGGTTCCAGAAATTGGTCATCGCCGCTGTGAGGCATTCTCAGTGCGTGGCTGTACACGTTGGTACGGTGAGACTTGGTGTGGAGTTTTGCGGGGACGCTGAGACTGTGAGCTTCACTGATCTCCGCCGGCCAAGGAACACAAGGCAATTCGGGAACGGGTAGTGCTGATGTCATAATTATTTGGACTAGAGGAAACGGTAGATGTTCCATGTAATCAATGGAAAAGGATCCTTGCCGGATATTTTTTCTGAGAATCTAAGTTTCCGTGATTGTTTATCGTATATCGTGCGGTCAGAAATTATTTTAAATTTTAAAATTTAAAATTAAATATAAATAATACTTAACAACAACTGACTATACAATGTACGATGAACAGTCACAATCACAGAATCCTTAGGCCATCTCCAACCGAGGGTTGGCAAGATGGCTCGTTTTAGCTCTCTGGCCCTCCAAGATTCTCCAAGATATTAATATTTTAATGAACAGTACAGGATCATATTTACCTCCGTCTCCAACCGAGGGCCAAATGGTTAAACATAATTTATTATTTAAATTTAAAAAATACAACAACTTAAATCTAAAAACAACAACTTATATTTAAAAAGTACAACTAAAATTTAAAAACAACAAATTAAATTTAAAAACTACAAATTAAATTCGAAAACAACATTAACTTAAATTTAAAAACTAAAACAACTTAAATTTAATATTCATAATCAACATCATCTTCATCATTCGCCATCGTATGAGTATAGTAAGAGGTAAACAATTGTCGTCGACTCATCATTTCTTTTTTTTTCCTATCAAAATAGGTCTTACTCATTGGAGTGTAATTCGAAGTGTTCCTTTATATATTTTTATCATCCATCTCTTCTTGTATTTGTTTTGCCCTTCTTCATGCTTATGCTTCATTTCTTCGGCCTCAAGGGCATTTTGCTCTGCCAATAATCGCAATGAGGTCGTCACTTCATGTTGAGTGGCGTAATTATCATTTGCCTTACCCTTTTCCTTCAACCTTCCCACCTTGTTTCGTCCCATGGCCCTAGGTATGGAACCTTCACCCGAAGACAGATTTTCTACCCTTTTTTGTTGAATGGTTGGAGATCCATCTTCATCCATATCTACAGCTAAGGAGGCAGTTTCGAACACCGGCGTAGGAGCTCTCTTTGGTGGATCTTCAAATAACACTCACCCTTTACAAATTTCCTAACAACTGTGAAACTAAAAGCGTTTCAAGCTGCTCTCCATATACAATTCCTCCGCTTGGCTTACCTAGAAAAAAATTAAAGAAAATTAATTTATGAAATTAAATTTAATATAATTAAATATTTAAAATAAATTGTGAAAACACTTACTTCGTCGTAGTAATTAGCGTCGCTTTCATGTCTCCTTGCGGCTGCTAACAATGCTTGATGCCATTTGTTCAAACTTGGCTGAAGATGTTTCTTCCATCTTGAAGAACAACTCTCGTGGTTTCAAATATTCACTGAAGTGGTGCCTTCATAGAACTCTAAGTATTTTTTGGACACACGAGTCCAAACACCGTCATTTGTTTGACAATTCCTCCTCACACTATCTTCCAACACTCATCTATCAGTCTTGCAAAGAGCTTCATCTTCTTTTCGGGTCCAAGCCATACCTTTCATTGCAGAAGAGGCCATTTCAAAATTATTAAAAAAATTGAATGATAGATTTTTGAAAAAGGAATATGAGAATTGAAATGGTAGGAATGGTGAAAATTTTGTGAGGAATAGTTTAGGTATTTATAGGAAAAAAATAGATTTAAAAAATAAAATAAAAGGCTCAAAAAACCCTAAAAAAAAAAAAAAAAAAAATTTGAATCCAACGGTAACTGGCAACAGCTAGCCGTTGGTTTCAAAATTATTTTTAAAAATTCCTGTCGATTATAACCGACAGGAATACATTTGTATTAAATAATATAAACGAAATCCTGTTGGTTATAACCAACAGGATTTCCAGTTTTCTGGCCAGCCCTCTAGCCCTCTCCGATTCCGTGGGACCCTCTGAGATTCCACAGCCCTCTGGCCTAACTCTCAGTTGGAGACGGTTTTCAGGCTATTTTTGGCCCTCTGGCCCTCTGGACCCTTCGGTTGGAGATGGCCTTAGGATCCTTAGAAAAAAGATCTGACGAGAATCCTTTTTTGTAATCAATATTCCAAAAGCAGACATACAACTCTATCCAAGAAAAAGAAAGTTAAATATTTGGAAATTAAATGAATACTACTAGGCCATGCTAGAATAAATTTATGAATATTCTACGTAATAGTGAGATAATAATTATAAATAAAAAATTCTTTTTTATGACCAAATTATCCCTGCATTATTTTATACATTCTTTCCTATTGGTTTTGAACTTTTTTGTTTGGGGGCATTTATGTTACATCCCGACTCTGGGCGGATCACTTCTCAGGCCCGCTCCACCACCGTAGCACGATATTGTCCGCTTTGGGCTTACCATTCCCTCACGATTTTGTTTTTGGGAACTCACGAGCAACTTCCCAGTGGATCACCCATCATGGGATTGCTCTCGCGCGCTACACGCTTAACTTCAGAGTTCCGATGGAACCCGAAGCTAGTGAGCTCCTAAAAGGCCTTGTGTTAGGTAGAGATGGGAATATACATATAAGGATCACTCCCCTGGACGATGTGGGATCTTACAATCCATCTCCTTAGGAGCCCGACGTCCTCGTCGGCACACTACGGCCAGGGTTAGACTCTGATACCAAATTGTCACATCCCACCCAGGGCGGGACCACTTCATGGGTCCGCTTCACCACCATAGCACGATATTGTCTGCTTTGGGCTTACCATTCCCTTACGGTTTTGTTTTTGGGAACTCACGAGCAACTTCCCAGTGGGTCACACATCATGGGATTGCTATCGCGCGCTACTCGCTTAACTTCGAAGTTCCAATGGAACACGAAGCCAGTGAGCTCCTAAAAGGCCTCGTGCTAGATAGAGATGAGAATATACATATAAGGATCAATTCCCTAGGCGATGTGAGATCTTACATTTATGTCCCATTATTTTTTGTGAAGCTTGTTACCTCAAATGGGCTACTGGCATTGTATATTAGTATAGATATATAATATGCGTCAAACAAAAAGAATTTATTATTTAAATTACATATTAAAAAAAATTTGTTAATTTTTTTTCTTACCTCACCCACATACACATAGTTTTACTCGTACACTCTCTCTCTCGTACTTCCTACTTTTTCCCTTTTTTATTTTTATTTCTATTCACTTAAAAATTCTTTTTAATTCTTTTTTTTTTCCTTACATGTAAAGGGGGATAACTAGTGACAAATCACGATTATCCATCCCTTCTAGACCCGGAGAAGCTACGAGGAATTTCATTTTGTCCGTGACCACAATCAAGCAGACTGACCAACTCAAAGCATTGAACCCGGGACCTCCCAAATTTTTATATTTATTGGGAAGCCGTATTCTGCACCCTTACCACTAGAGCGCTTGCTGTAGTTATTTTAAACCTTTTTTTTTTTTTAATACACATATAATGTGTGACTTTAATCTAATTATTATTTAAATCGTCGATTTATTTTTGCATATAAATGACTACATAATTTTTAGGGTGACTAATTTATCAAAATGTTATCTAATTTTTAGGGTGACTTTTTTAATACACAATGTGTGACTTTTATCCAATTATTATCAAAATTTTACTGAAATTGTAACTAATTTATCTTCCTTTTCTACTTTACAATAAAAAATTTCCAGTTGAGGCATTACTGTCATTGAAGAAAAAAATGGAGCTTCCTGTTCGGTTGGGGTGGAATGGTGATCAATGTGCTCCCCCAACAACATCCATGGAGCGGAGCTGACTGCCAGTATGATAGAACAAGCAACAAGTCGGTCATCGACGGACTGTAATGAGTGTTTTAACTCTGCATGCACAGGGCTCTGGACAGCCAAGGGTTGAAGGGATTCTTGCCGAGTGACATATCCAAATTACATCATCTTCAAAGCATGTGAGTTCCTCTCTAACACTTGCTTCTGTATGGCATGTTCGTTTTTTATTCAACTTGACGTGCTAAACTTCGATGAAATGGTACTCAGTGCATAAATGCGACAGCAAGCAAGTCCAAGTGTTTTACAGCCTTTTTAACGCATGTTTTGTTCTACAGAAATTTGAGCAGAAGTAACATACAAGGGTCCATTCCTTCCTCACTTGGAAATTAAGTTAAACAAGCTTATAGAAGCATTGTAAATATTGGTTTGGTACTAAGATCCTTTTATAAAAGTGGGTATAAAAAAAACTGAGCTCAAAAAGGTGGTTTGGTAAACACTTAAAAACAGCTTATTTTCACAGTTTTAGGTGAAAAAAAAATTAAAAACATGAAGCAGCAAAAATGAGTTTATTCTCATAGCACAGTAGAAGCAGTTTTTTTTTCAAAGCACAACAATACCAAACCAGCCCTAAGTGTAGCTCATATATTCTCTTTTCCAAGACAGCCTATCAACAGTTCAATTCCATGTTTAAAAAAAACTCATGCTCCTTCCTTGGCAGGGACTCGTCGTTCAATTCCTAAATCGCGTGAAGAATTGACCTTGTTGCGAAGACTGTAAGACGTATCATAACGCAACTTATAGTTGTATGAAACCAAAATGTGTAAGAAAAAGACTCTTATGTAAGTTGTTATGTTGCAGTAATGTCAATGACAATTCCCTGTCCGGAAAGGTCCCAGCTGCTCTAGGAGGCAGGCTTTTACACGGAGCAAGCTTCAAGGAAGAATTAGACACTTCATAATCTGCACGATTTTGGGGCTTTTTGCATATGTTAACATGAAAAGAAATGTATGTATACTAATCCTGAACTACATATTTGGTTTTGACTCAGTTTCACTGATACCGGGACTACCTATGTGTCTGACTGCCCTTGGTTGATCTTTTAGGCAAAATCCGACTGCAGGTAAGGATGTCGATGTAGAAATCAAAATGCTTCCGTGCTTCCACACCTTACTCCCATATGGAGTTTAGAATACTAAAATAGTGTTACTTAACAAGATTTCTAAGAGATTGTTTGGCATTTGAATGTCACATATTAAGGTTTTGGGGATTGCCGAGCACAAAAAACTTGCCTGCAACGAGATACATTGTATTTCTCTCTCCCCCGCTCTCTCTCCTCACGTTGGTATACACTCTCTGTTACGTGTACTTCACTTTAAATTCTTAGTACCATGCACGTAGCGTATAATGGATTGAGTTACAAGTAACAGAGTATATATCAACGTTCTCACTTCAAATTCTTAATATTATGTACGTAGCGTAATAATAAAATGAGTTACACATAACAGAGTGTATGAGGTGAGAGAGAAAGAGATAAAACGTGTATAAGAACACAGTCCCTACCACCATACGTATCTAAGCCTTCAAAATTCAGAGATCCAAAACAATATTCACAAAACTAACAGAAGAAAAAGCAGTCAGGTTCCCGTGAGTTGCTTACGAAGGATGAGAGCCTTCAGTCCTTCAGTCCTTTACTAACCGTACGATTACCTCCATCAGATGTTTGTACGTGGGGTCAGCAGTCAGTGGATCAGTGGTCACACAACTCACACCCACACCCTAACCTAGTCCCAGTCAAACACGCCATCGACGCAAGCCTTACCCACACCCAGCAGCAGCCCATCTCATAATTCAAAAGTAACCCAAAAACCCACCCCAAATTCAATTCAATGGGTCAACCCAACCGGCCCTCTGCCTCCTGCTACTTAGACACCACCTCTCTGCCCGCCACGTGTCCCCCTCCTCACCAAACACCCTTCAATCCAATTCACTGTACGAGAGATTTTTCAATATGATTAGAACACGAGGTGGTACATTACGTGTCATTATATAAATAATAAAATACATGTGCTAAAAAGTTAATAACTAAAAAATAAAACTTTCAACCACTTGTATAAAAACATATAATATACCATCCGTGTTCCGGTCATAATAAAAAATTACCGGCCCCACTTACCATGAATTACTATTTAAATAATCAATACAAGAATCTAAAAACAAAATCCCAAAATACGAAATAAATGGCGGGCGCGGCTGAGCCTGACCACACCGCCGTACAGATATCGGTAGGGCTTACATCACCACCCCTACACAAACCCACACGTCTACTCAGGCGGCGGCTCATTTCTTTCCATTCCCGTTAGGGCCCACAGCACTAACCTCACGTGTGCAAAACCCTCTCGCGTCCTCACCATAACCGTCCGACCGCACCTGAGAGCACATCTCCAATCTTGATATCAATCCAACGGCCCAAATAATTAACAAGTAGAAAAAACCGCGTCATCCAATCGAAACAATCAGTATATGTATAAGTAGAATAGAGCCGTGCCGTCCAGCCGACGATTACGGATGTCTGAGTGGGACCCCCAGTTTTTCACTTTCGACACCCATTCAAGTTTTCAACTTCTGTCAAAAACCTCCTCTCTCTCACTTTCTCTCACTCAAAAGCTTTGCTTTCTCTCTCTCTAGATCTTTCCATGGCGACTGCAGCTGCTCCGTCTTCCTCCCGCGAGGGCCACTACAGGGGGGTGAGGAAGCGTCCATGGGGCCGGTACGCCGCAGAAATCCGGGACCCATGGAAGAAGACGAGGGTCTGGCTCGGCACATTCGACACGCCGGAGGAAGCCGCCCTCGCCTACGACGGCGCCGCCAGGACGCTCCGCGGCGCCAAGGCCAAGACCAACTTCCCTGCGCCGATCCCCAGCGGCATATCCCTCGACCTCAACGCTCCCTCCGCCGCCCACTGGGCCACTCACTCCGGCCGCCTCGTCGAATTCCTCCACACCGGCGTCCTCAACGACATGGGCAGCGGCACTTCCACGAATGATACGCTGCCGTTGATGGCGAGGAGGGAACCTCAGCAAACTCCAGTTGGTGTGGCGGGAAATGTCGGCGGCGGCGGTAATGCCACGGTCGCGGAAGGTTCGGGTTTCGGCAGTACGGCGTCTTTTCTGGGACTGGTCCGGCGTGGCTTGCCGATTGATCTCAATGAGCCTCCTCCCTTGTGGCTGTGAAGAGTAGCATTAATCGTCCCGCCGTCGTTCTGTGTTTTTCCCTCTCATCGCTGGTTCTAATTATCTCTCGCCATAATTTTTCTTTTTATTTTAGTATTTTCACTAATTATCTAAAGAAAATCTTCACTGTTACGTTTCGGATGTATGAGGATATTAATATTTGAGAGAGGAAAAAAATAATGTTGTTAAAATTAAATTATTAGAGAGAGGCTTTTTCTTTGTATATATATTTCAATATTTATGTTTTTTTTTTCCTTTAATATTTTGTAATTTATCAGTTAGAAATGTCTTCTGGTTTTCCAGTGCAGTGCGAGTGGGATCGTCTGTTTCCGATAATCTTAGCATCCCCATGAAATCTGAAGCGAAAAATAGAACCACTTGCAGTTCTGAGGCGCGTGGTAGTTGAGAGTGTCCATGTCTGTCCCGACATGACGATTGCGGTACCTTAATCATTAATTAAACTAGTTTAATCATCTCTCCATTGTTAACAATTTCAAGAGCATTTTTGCTTCACCACAAGAACGATGTTGTAGCCTTATTTTACACTTAATCATTGTCAAATGTCATTTTACTTAATTTTGTTAAACTATAAATATCACTTTTTTTTTTTTTTAAATTTTCAAAATTCAATTAGTTTAATTATCTCTTTATATTCAAACAATTTCAAGAGCATTGTTGCTCACCACCATAATTACACTGTATATTCATACACACCTAATCATATGTCATATGTTCTTTTACTTAATTATGTTAATTTTTATATTAAATGTTAATTTTTTAATTTTGAAAAAATTAACCACAGTTAAGTGAAATGATAAGTAACAGATGATTGAGTGTAGGCTGCTTTGTCACACATAGACTTGCTCATTAAGCAATGAATTAGGATTCTTTCATCTCTTTCTTTCTCTCTCCTCCTATTTGAACGTTCGAAATTTCATCTTCTATTTTTTTAATCTTTGTGGAGGGAAGAAAGAAGGAAAAAAAAACATTCTAGGGAGGGAGGGAAGGGAAAAAGGGAGGCGAGAGAAACCCCATCGTTAAGGGGTTTATAGTTTTTGTAATTGAGCTTCAATGTTTGATTTTTCATCTTCTCATATTCCTGTATATGTGCAACAGAGGCCGAGCCATGAAGGGACCACGATGGTCTCAGACCCATCTAACATTTTTTGCACGTAGAAAAATTTAGTGTTATGTTTATGATTTTCAAGGGTTTTCCGCAAGCTCGGGCTCCAATCCGACCTTTTAGTTTAATTTCTTTTATTACGTTTGATTTGAAATTGGTGGCTGTTATGGAGTTCAAGTAATCCGTTTCTTGTGAGCTTTTGAGGAATAGGGAGAGAGGGAGAAAGGCACAGAGGCTTGAGTTTTAGATTTAAGGAAGAAATGATGAGGACGACACTACATCAAACGTAAACGACAATTAACGGTTGCTCATCACACGACATAGTAATTTTTGTAGGATTAAGAGGGCATTTCAAATGTGACTTTTGCGCAATTTTTAGGTTAAAATTTTGACTCCGCGCAGTGCAACCAATGGACTATTGATGGGTACTGTTATTGTTCATCTGGTTATAAATTTTCTAAATTTTGTATATATTGTACGAGAACCAAACATAACACACAGCTAATAGTTCCAGCTAGTTTTTTCAAATTCATTACAAGATACGTAGATTGTGACTACATACTTGCTAAGATCCATAAACGTAGACGATAATTAGAGTTTGTGATTGTGATTTATAGAAATTATTGTAGGGCCTAATTGGTATGACAAACTTTGGATTTTGGGAAAAAGTTGGTTTGTCTTGTTTGTTAATTTCATTGCACTAAGTGTGAAGACGTAGCCTTTCCTTGTTATGTAAAAGCAAGAACATACATACGTACACAATAAAATTGCCGCGTTCTTCATGTGGTGTGATGTTGCCGGCTTTGGGTCACTTTCTCTTCTTCTCTCTTTTTCCATCCTCTGCGAATCATCTGCTCTCTCTCTCTCTCTCTCTCTCTCTCTCTCTCTCAACCCAACCAATATTTGAAAATAATATTATTTACTTATACACAGAACCTTGATTAAAACGATAACGATAACGATAAAAAATCACATGCATTATTTTTAGGGAGTTTTAACGAAAAGCCCACGTTACTGTTCACTTTAACGAAAAGCTCATATTTTTACACTAAAAAATCAATCCTGGTACTATTCACTTTACCCTTTATTTTGTTCTTATCATTAAAACTCAAAGTTTTCAAGCCCTTTTTCATTAGTTTTCCTTTATTTTTATGTCAATTTCAAGCCTAGTGAGTGACAAACTTTGGATTTTTCTTCTTTTTCTAGATGTATTCTGTAAAATAATTCTTGATCACAATTCTCGCACCAATCGCGAAAGACAAATATATAACTTATGTGCAATGACACCACTAGTTATTTTGGTGGATTAGGGTTTGTATTGAAGACTTTTAAGTGGGAAAAATGAACCCGCAAAGTGCAATATAATCGCAATGTTGTTCAGGTGGTCTAGCGACACTCGATCTTCTCGTAATTTGAGAAGGTTTTAAGTTCAACTCTCTTTAAAATTTGTGGTATGTTGTCGTTTTTTGCGGCTTGTTTGTTATAAATGCATCTTGTAGGATGATTGATACATTATACAGGCTGTGACTACAAGTTATTCAGTTACTAAATTTTCATGTTATAAGAGTCTCTTTTAATTAACTCTCAGTGGTCATTATACACGCAAAGTAATTTTAACTAGCACATTTTTACCAAACTGATGTGTTCAAAACTTCAAATATAAGAAAATAGGTAATGTTAAAGAGACCAGCTATTTAGACTAAATTTTGTAAACTACATGATATGGTTGTTGATGATTGGATTATTACTTAAAACACGATTAACATGTTTATTTGTTATTGGTGACACATCATATAATTTACAAATTTTTATAAAACTTCCAAATTACACTTTTCACTCTAATGGTAGCTTTTGGATGTTATTTATATATGTCATATTGTTTATTTTAATTTTAAAAATAAGTTGTGAAAACTTGTGAAAATGAAGTTGTAATACAAAATCGTTAGTAGTTGTCAACCAGAAACACAATTGCTTTTAGGACGTGTCTTAGATTAGACAAAACAATATTAAAACCAATAAATTAGTATGAATCCAAGTCTGTGGGCTCGCACCGGGCACCAAATGATTTGATTGGTCGATCAGACACTGCTTTGGGTATTTTGTGAATCAATCAGATGCGCAGTTGCTAATTCAAAGTTCGTTTAGAAATAAAATTAAAAAGAAAAATTAATGAAAAGGATTTGAAAACTTTAAGTTTTAATGCTAAGGACAAAATAAAAGGTAAAGTAAATAGTATCAGGATTGACTTTTTAGTGTAAAAATGTGGTTCTTCGTTAAAGTGAAAATTACCGTGGGTTTTTCATTAAAATTCCCAAATTAAAATGGCTAATAACGGTTCTGATAGAATATTTTTTAGAACAAATTATTAGTAAAGTTCTTTTAAATTCAAAATTATTTTTACTAAAAATATTTTAAATTATTTTAAAGATATTTTCAAACAAATTCTTCGTACAAAGCAACAGGAGAAGGTCACTTAAGTTACAAAAGTAAACAAAAGATTGCAAAATCTAGTTAAAAGCTAAATTACGCAATTGTTAATCAATTAAATTAGGATTTAATATGTAATAATTGGAAAGGGAAGGGAAAAAAAAAAAAAAAGGAGGAAAGATGGTTTGATTAGGTAAAGAAAGTGGATGAGACGGCCATTGATTAAGTATTAGCATTAGGATTATATTTTTGGTCAATGTTTTTCTTTTTCACAGCCTCCTTTTAGGCCGGCGGCTTTGGTCACAAAATATTATATAATTTTATAAATCGATATAGGTAGCCTATGATGGTGCGTGTGTCCCTTGGACTCAAATGTTCAAAACGTAATGTCGTTTTCATGTGTAGCACAAGCAAACTAGCTACCACCTTGGTCTTTTTTTTTTTTTTTTTTAAGAATCAGTTAGTGGTTTCCTCACATTAGTTATCCTTTTAAGAGCCGAGAAGACTTACAAAAGTAGTTTAGTTTCGTCTTAAGCACCATCGTACAATTCACCAGCGCTAAGAATCGAATCCAGAACGTGTCATGCTGAATATAAGCCTGGAATTCGTTCTCAACAACTGGATCACTCTGTGGTGGTTATCTCCTTGGTCTTTTTTAATTATCGTTAAATTATATTATGAGATGATAGAGAATTCATGAAGAATTCTAATTTGAGAGAATCTCCTTAGCATTTCTCTAATTTGAATTACCATTTCAACCATGTCTTATTGCTACCCAAAGAGTAATAAGTGGGTGAAATCCATCAAACGTGATAATATCAAGCCACTCAGCGTGTAATATTTGCCAATAATTTGTCCATGTTAAGTATTGATGTCATCGGCTCCAAAAATTAGTGACACTACCCGATATTGCCTTTGCACTCAAATATAATTTTCATACTCTTCATTCATTGCGAGCCCCCCCCTTAACAATCAAGAATTCTCCGTTATGTTAAAAAGCGATTATTTAGTTTTTTTTTTTTTTTCTTCGTTTATTTTTGTAACGAGATTATAAATTTTAAAGATAATGTTAAGACGATTAAATTTAAAAACAAAATTTGTAAACTAAATAATGTGTCATAAATATGAACAACACGTTTATCAATGTTTGAATAATGAACAAATCATCAATTTTCATGTTTTTTAATTTTTTTAATTTTATTTATAAATTTAATCTCTATAACGTTAATGTTGTCCATGATTAATAGTTGGAACGTTTTATCTTTGCAGCTTATGTCCGTATTTTTTTTTTTTTTTCAATTCCTCAGTTAAAGAATATAATTAAATATTAGTGGATAAAAGCTTCAGTTGCATGGAATATACAAGTCGGATTTAGGGTTAGGGTTACAGAGAAGAAGACAACGAATAAAATAAGAGGGGGAAAGGAGGAAGAAGACTAAATACAACACGCAAAGGAGCTGCAGGTGCAGGTAGAGCAGCAGACTTGAATTGCTTTTACAGAGGAGATATTTCACGCAATTCCAAACGTCACCACTCGCCATCATCACCACTCAGCAAACATGCACATCAGCTGCTCCCTCCTGCAATTTCTGCAGAATCTGTACGCTGCATCCGCTGCCACCCTCTGCCGCGTGGGTACACCTACCCCCGGCCGTCAATTCATAGACTGGCCG